CTCAGATTTTGTGTGTTTGGAGGGGTGGAGGTGTGAATTGAGAAAAATCTGCCCTCAGGGAGCCCTCAAATCAGGCTCTTCAGTTTCCCCCAGAAAACAGTGAATATGGAGGAGAAGGACAACAATTGTTTAAAAAGATGCATCATTGTTGGTTTTAAGCCCTTTTATGTCTGTTTCCCTGCAGCTAGTGTAAATATTAATCCCCCAATTAAAGACAAGCTAATTGAGGCTCAGAGGGTGAGTCACAGAGCCCACAGGTCTAAACCTCAGGTGTTGACGCTACACTGGGGGCTTTATATCTATAAGCACAGGACATGGGGCTTCTAAGTCTTTGGAGAGAATTACGATAAAAATGTGTGAGAGTTGAAAAATATTGGCTCCAAAATAGTGAAAAAGAGACTTTTAAAATATATATATTAAATTGAAAGTATATAAAACAAAGCATATCAGCCTTTTTTTTTCAATTACATTATAATTTAAAACAATTCATAGGTTAGATTTTTTTGTTCTGCAACAATTTCTGGACATGGCTGATGAGGGCCAAGAAATCATAGTAATTGAGTTATTCATAGACAACTTTAAAAGAACAATGAATAATTCTTTATATACATACATATATGGAGAGAGAGTGAGAGAGGGAGGATGAACTGTTGCAAAATATGGGATACATTTTTAGATGTCTGGTCTGATGTGGGGAGAGGGACCTTCCAAAAATGAGATTGTTTAAGACCTACCCCGATCACACACCACCTCAAGGAAGCAGTAGCCTGGGCGCTTGGCTATAGCCTCGGAGACCAGATTTGATGCCTGCCTTTAGGACTTCATAGCTTCAGTCACCAACCCCCTGCTCCTTGCATTTCAGAAATGCCAGCTGCCACTTCCAGGGGGTCATCAATAGGAACTCAAGTGTCTCCAGAGCTCTCCGGGTCTGCAACAGCTACTGGAGCCGAGAGGTCAGGGCTGGGGGCGCATATGTGAAGAGGGGTGTGGGTGGGTATGTGCGTCTGAAGCTGTGTGGTGAAGGTGGGCAGTAGGGCTGAGGCAGCCAGCTGGGATGGGCTAGGGTGGAGGAGGCAGCCTGGGGCACCCCAGCCGGCTCCCCTACCAACGTTTGGGATGACCAGGTAGTCCTCCACCCCCACCTCAGGGCTGTGTGAAGCACAGTGGGGCCTGTGCAGGTGTGGCTCTACATCCATCACTTCCTCCTAGGTTCTTCTTCTCCCTTGACAACTCTTGGTCCCCTGTAGGCATCAGAGAACCCCAGCCATCCCAACCCTCAAGGAAACTTCCCAGTTAGACATAGCCAGGGCAGCATGTGGATATGTGCAGGGGGCGAGAGGAGGGAGGATTTCTGAGAGATTACTTGGGATAATCTGTCCATCCAAACTAGGACAGTGTGCGTGAAGAACATTAACTACTAATTTAAAACTAAATTAGATTCTTTGTGTAGAGTGTTCGTAAGAGGGGAAGGCAGGTGGGAGGAAAAGAGAAAAGGGGAAAGCATAAAATCTGTCATGGAGCTGAGCTGAAAGAAACTTCAGTGTCCTGCTAATCTCTTTTTATTATTTTATTTATTTTATTTTATTAGTCCTTAATGTCCTTTTTATTAAGGGCAGGACACTGAGTTCAGAGCCATCCTGTGACTTGTGCATGGTCACAAGTCACAACTGGTTACTAACAGAGCAAGAACCAAGATCTAGATCTAGTGCCTTTGTCAACCACACCCTCAAGTTTCCTGACATAGAAGAGATAAAGTTTTAGGTGCCCTGTGCATGTGGAGACCTGTCTCCTAGCAGTATGGGCTTTGGATGGGGACATAACTTCCCCAATGTGGGGAATCAACCTCTGGAGGAGGAATGCACCCCCTCCAAGTTTGGGAGCAAACAGCAGGACTGGGTGGGCCAGGACACAGACTGTGGGCCTCATTAGCCATGTCTCTGTCTTCTTCCCACCCCTCAAAGCACCCAAACCTACGAAGAGCTGAAGATGTGGATGCTCTGCTGCTGGGCATGGCCTCCCAGATCGCTGAGCAAGAGGACCATGTGGTGGTTGAGGATGTGCGAGGTGAGGCTGAGGCTGAACCTGCAGACTGTGCACCCCGGCCCCCGGGAGGAGGTTCAGCTGAAGCTCCAGAGCCAGGCAGGGACAGATGCCCAGGGCTGAGAGCCTGCACTCTCACTGCTGAGAGAGCTTCTGACTTGCTGACTATAGCTCCCTCTGTATGGCTCAGGTCCCCCTGGGGCTGGGTGGAGTCTGGGGCATGGGCTAGAGGAACCACTCACAGACTCTTCAGTATCTCATCCCCAGATTTCTGGCCTGGGCCACTGAAGTTTTCCCGCACAGACCACCTGGCCAGTTGCCTGCAACGGGGCCGGGATCTGGGCCTGCCGTCTTACACACAGGCCAGGGCAGCACTGGGCCTGGCTCCAGTTACCAGATGGCAGGATGTCAACCCTGCACTCTCCCGGAGTGACAGCACTGTAAGGAGGGTTCGGGACCCAGGGAGCAGGATGGGAGGGCCGGGGCACATGGGTCAAGACACAGAAGATGAGTAGCAAGACACAGACACCAGAGACAAGCACCTAGTGAGGGGGCAAGGCTCACCGAGGTTGCTTCTCCCAGTATCACACACCAGGATGGAGGTTACTAGACCAGCAGGATTCAGCTTTAGACGCTGTGACTGTGCAGATGCAGCAGAATGTTTATTGAGCATCTCTTGCATGCCAGGTACTTAATAGGGTTCATCTCATTTGCTCTTCCCAACAACTCCTTGAATGGGTACAGAAGATCCTTGACTCAGGAACAAATCACTGTGCTCTCATGTACTGATACTCAAGCTGCTTTTGGGGAGTCAGCTGTCATACCCTGAGGTTTTACACCCTGAGCTATCACCTGGGCAAGTGGCATCGCCTGCCAGTCCACAGACCAGTTTTGGCTGCCTTGCCATCTCGGCACAGCAGTGTTTCTTTCTACAATTGGCTGCCTGTTTTATTGCTTTTGCCCTTACTGTTTATAAAATTGTTGGAAAGTGGAGAATTGAAGGACCAATAAAGAAGTGATATGCACATGGGGATTTTAACCTTTATAAAATCAATAGGTAGCTAGCACCAGCAGCTGCAAACCTTTAACTTCAGCTGGGCCTCACTAGGATCAAGCTGGCCATGAGCTTTTTATTTACACTGTGGAGAAAACCAAAGATCAAGTAGAAAATACTGCTCGTATATTATTGAACACTGTCTCTAAAAGGCAATGTATATCCAGGGATTTGATATTTTAAAACTTTTTTTATCTCTAAAGAATAGAAACCTTTTATAACGCATCATTCTACCATTTAACTTTTGTGCTGATTTTGGCACTTCAACTTTTATACCTTTTCAAGAGCAAGTAACAGGGGACTGACTTTATAAGATAGGCGGCTGAATCTGTGAGAGGCTTCTCATAAATGAGTTAACTTATATAAAGCAGTCAAAGCAGTACCCAGGGCACAGTAAGTGAGTTATTGTCACTGTCGCTTATTATGACTATCTCTGGGGCTGATCCCTGGAAGCTACCTCCAGGTCTTTCACTTACTTCTGTCCCTTCTTGGCCCCAGGTGCTGGAGGCCACAGCTGCCCTGTACAG